ACTCAAGCCCAAGAGATCCTCATATGCTCGGATATTGATTTTTCAAGTCAAAATTTTTGTACCAAAATCGTGAAAAGACTTAATCTTGAACTGGGGTTTTCTTATTTTCTCTAATCCATTTTATAGATTGGGAGTATTCAAAATTAATTAAGAGCAAAAATCTAAAACCCCATGAGTAAAATAAGCCCAAAAGATCCTCATTTGCTTGGTAGTTGACTCTTCAAGACTTTCTTTATACGAAAATCTTGAAAAGATCCAATTTTGAAGTGGGGTTTTATTTTCTTAGTCTTTTGAGATCAATTTTTACTGATTTGAGAGAGTATGGGTGAAGAATCCAAACTTTAAATTCATAGTGAAGAGGAAGTTCAAGAAAGTGAGTAAAATAATAGATCAGTTGTATGTTGTGTGCTCCAATCATCTTGTTTTAAAATGCTTGTTGTGGAGTTGCATTGGATTTTTGTATTTGTTGTTGTGATTGTATATGTTGTGTTCAATGTTGTAATTGTATATAGTGTGATTCATATTGGGGTTTTAAAGGATTGAGCAGAGATCAAGTTGATCTCAGAGTTTGATATCTAATTTTAAGTTGGATAGTTGGGTCAAAGAAATAGGCATGGGTCATTAGAATTTGGGTTCATCATTGTACACTTGGCAGTTTAAGTGAGAGGTCTCATTGCCGCGGTGAAGATCTGTTAAGGTTGAGGGTGATTTTATCTACTTTGTTAATGGTGGGGACATATTGGGATGCAAAGTAGAACGAGGGATAAACATAGAACAATTTACCAAAGTATAGGGACAAATCTGACCTATTAAGGTAGAAGGTTGGGGGCTGGGATATGGCTGTCCAATGGGACGGGACATCCCGTACCGTCCCATGTCCCGGCCCGACCCACTTCATTCTAAACGGGATGGGCCCATATTAAACAGGACACGGGATGGGACGGGATGGCCATTTCGTCNTATTAAATTATACTTTGGCCCTATTTTCTACTATAAATACCCCCATCCTTCTTCATTTTTTTCCCACAAAAAATCAACCATTCACTCTCAAATCTCTTGCATTCTATCTATATTATTCTCTCAATTTTCTCACTATCAACTATCAGGTGATAACTTTCAAATATTTGGGCAAATATTTGGAGCAACTTTCAACCTTCAAATTAATTCGTCAAGTATTTAGAGCAATATTTTGGGCCGTTTCTTCAAGTTTTAATATTTAATCACGGTGCACTCATTCCATCTCCTAATTTTAATATACAATTTTTGCGTATCATTTTAGTGCTTAATTTTGTGTTTATTTTATGTGTTCTATTTTCGTATTTCATTTGTGTGTTTAATTTTTGTATTAAATTTTTTAATTTAATTTCGTATTTAAATTATTGCACCTAAAAATGTATTTAGCTTGTTTAAAAAAGTAGTAAAAAAATAGTAAAGGTGAAAGTAGTAGTAATCCTAATCCTAACCCTTCTCCTAGAATTAGAAAACATATAGATGAAATGACTCATATTGATGAAACTTCATTTTTCCAACCCCCCGCATGTTATAATATTAATTCCGGAGAATAACTAGATCGTGAAACTTTATAAAGACAAATTGTCAATGATATTTTTTTGAGGATGAAGAAAATAAGGATAAAGAAAATGAGGAAGAAGAATTAGATGAAACACCCACTAGTCTCGCAACACAAGCTCCAACTCAAAGTCAATCTCGGTCTGGAGCTTTACCCCCTGTATCCCCTATAAGGAGTAAGCCTAACGCTAAACGTCCCAAAACATCACTTTTATGGAAATCTTTTTATGCTACAAAATAATTTTCTGGTATATATTATCCTACGGTTACACAAATATTATGGTATATTTGTGAAATTTCTGTTGTATTTGGTACGTATAAAACAAATCCAACTTATGCACCAGTCATTAATGAAATGATTTCAAAATTTAAAAAGTATTTTTTCCTTATTCCTCAAGTTTATTTAATTTCTACTCTACTAAACCCATCTTTAAAACTAGAGGTGCAAAGGGACTTGTTCGTAAAATTTATGAGAATTTAGCAATTCAAGAAAATGAAAAATCATCAATCGAAGACTTCCAAGCTAGCATATATTCTTATGCTAGATCAATGTTTGATAAATATAAATCTATGGAAACAACAGTTGGTGAAACTGCTCCTTCTACTTCTAAGTCTAGAGCAGAAGTTTTGTGGGAAGATATGGATGATATAACAGGTTTTGATTCCTCTATTGATGATGAACTTGATTCTTATCTTAATCAAGGATTGGAAAGTATTAAAGACAAAGAAGGCAACGAACAACTTTTGGCATGGTGGAGGGAACATGGCAAGGCTTTTCCAACACTTTCAATAATGGCCCGAGATATTCTGGCTATTCAAGCATCATCAGTAGCATCGGAGAGTGCTTTTAGCACGGCAAGATTTCTAATTGGAGATCATAGACATTCATTAGCGGAAGATAGTCTAGAAATTTTCGTATTATTCAGAGATTGGATTAATTCAGAAAGAAGAAATCATGGTTTTGAAAAATTAACCACTAGGGAAAAAGAAGAAGAATACAATGAGACTTAGGGCTGGGAGCGATGACGGCATGGAGCTCATGGAACATCAATCAACATTGCCAGTTCCAGAACAATATCCGAGAGAAATTATTGATAAGTTACAAAGAAGCTATATACGAGCTTACAAATATTAGTATGATAATTTGTAATTGGCTACTAAGAGGCCTAGTTCAAACAGAATCCTTCCTAGAAGTTGGTTGCGTAGATTAGGTGTTCCTCAAAAGAATTATATTTGTATGTGAGATTTGAAGGTTTTATTAATAAAATAAAAGGCTCTAAGCGTTAAGTGTTATTTATGAATTGTCTTAGTTACTTAATACTTTGAAACTATATTAAATAAATTATAACTCTATTATAATTACTATAATATTTCATTACAAGTCTTTTATTTTAATATTTTATAATTCTTTATTTAGTATTCTAATTTCAGTTCTAACATTTAAGTTTATTAAATAAGTCAAAAACTAGTTGTTGCAAACTTTAAAAACTTAGTCATTGTAAAAAAAACTAGACTTTTTTTTAAACTACACTTAAGGCCTGCGAACTCGTCTCGTTTGTTAGTGGGACAGGATAAGCCTACTGTTTCGTCCCGTTTCATCCCGTTCCATCACCGCCCCGGCTAAATGTCGTCCCGTCCCGTCTTGTTGGACAGCCATAGACTGGGGGTTGGGGTTAGTAAAAAGTAAAAAATAATAAAAAATAGAGGAACTAGGCCTGTACTAAACTTAAACTAGTTTACAGTACGTTCTGATTTTTCTCTGTGGTCCCAGTTACACTCTACTTGAAATTCCTGAGGTGCAGTGTTTCTAGAAAGAATTTATTACTACATACTATTATGACAGTATAAATAATTTCCAGAAAATCAGCATAATTTAATCATTATAGCAGATGATACGCATTATTTTTTATTGAAATTCTAATTATTAGGAAAAGATATATGTAGTACTCGATTTATCCTAATTTATAAGATACTCTTTCATTTTTTGTTTATTTCACAAAGAATAAAACCTTTATATAATTGAAACAATTTAACTTTAGACTTTTCATCTTATTTTTAGTGAGATGATTTATATGCACACAAATATCTGTGATTTGTTTTAACCAACATATTCTTAAAAAAAAAAAAAAAAACTTTCTTTCTTACGTTCCATATCCAACTAAACAACATCACATAAAGTAGAACAGAAGTAATAATAATGTATAAGTTCTTTTACACAATCAACATACAAAGGATAGCCCGGTGTACAAGGGATTTCGTATTCACGTAGGGTCCGGAAAGGACCGCACCAAAGAATATTGATGTAGACAACCTACCTTAATACAAGTATTAAGTAGTTGTTTCCACAACTAGATCTTATTATATCACAAATAGAACTTTACCATTGCTCTAAGATTCTCCAATCTTTTACACAATTATATATGGGAAAATATCTAACAGAACAGAAGCAGAGAGAATCAAAATCTGACTAACAGCTTAGCTTTCAGTGGTACTGCTTAAGCTCAGGGGGGCATGATGCAGCAGATCTTTCTATCTAGTCCCTTTTAACCAGCTCACTGCCATTTTCAAGATTTCATATCACATCAAAAACCAGTTTCTCATATCTTCTTGCTCCACCAGAATAAGATCCTCATAAAAGAAAGAAACAAAGAAATAAGATTCTAGCTCCCCCAAACCCTAGCTGTCCTTCTTGGGTATGGTAAGACTGCGTATATCTTACCCTTCCCAAACTCTACTTGTGAGAAACTACTGATTTTCTTGTTTTTTTGTTGTTATATATCTAAGGAGCACTATAAAGTTCCTTTTCTTGAGCTTTACCCCCAACACACAAACATACCTTAATATATAGTACCATAAATCTCAGTCTCAACAACCTGACCTTTTTCTTCCACTTTTACTTGTGCCTTTCCCATTTCTTCTTTTCTTAATTTATTCAGTCACAAAATAATCACCACCTTCACACGTTTGCTTGCCACTCTCACTTAACCATCTAACTCCTTGTTAAGGTTATGACAGCTTATTCTTACTTTCCAAAATAGAGAATCTTTGAGCATCTCTAGTTCATTTGCTTAATTTTTTATTTATTTTTTTGCATTTAGATCACTTTTCTTTTGTGCTTTAGATATCGACTCACTAGAAGCCCATTCCAGGAGTAAACCACTGCCTACCAAAAAGTTCACCGTAAACGGCTTCCTCCCAAAAAATTGTCAGACCAGTTTGTTCATGTTAGCATGCAGTCCAAGAAAAAGGTGAAGTAGTGGTATTTTCTTCCATTTAATTAGAAAGACACACTTTCTCGTATATTAAATTCTATGGAAGTATAATCAAGTTGTCATTATTTCAGACCTGACAAGAAATAGAATATCATCAGAAAAAAACTCAAGAAATCTTCATATTCTTGATTTTGCCACCCTTCTTTAGTATACTCCAAAATGTCATCCACACAAGTTATGGATCCTCTACAGCAACCACCACCAATGGTTTTGAACCCGAAAGCTTATTCGGATCATCGAGATCATGGATCGGTTGGACCCGTAATCGGTGTAATAGTAATGATAGCTTTTCTAGGAGCAATTGCTGTGATGATAGGTAAGATATGTTCGGGCCGTGGGATAATGGGTCGTGGTTACTATGACATTGAAGGATGGGTTGAGACCAAGTGTGGGTCTTGTATTGATGGACGGGTTGACCCGCCACGTCCACATGTGACTGGTTCACCGCCAGTAGTGGAGGAGAGCGGTGGGTCCGGCACTGATTCCCCTGTGCCGGAGGAGGAGGTGGAAGCAAGAGAAGAAGAGGCGTCTGATCAACAAAGTACTAATCTGCATTAGCATATATGGCCGATCTAAAATTTTAATTTTATGGGTTTAATATTTAAAGTTTATAGTATTGAACCTATTATATTTTAAAGTTATGAATTCATATTTGCTATTTATTTTTATTTTAATAATTTTTAGATACAAATTTATATTTCGTGTCGAAAATATTGGGTTAAGTTGAAACCGCGAGCACACTCCATCTGCCCCTGAGCACACCTGAGAAAAGCTAGCCGATGATCAAGTCTTGAAAAGAGTGGCTCACACTATGGTTTTCTTTTTCATTTCTTTAATGGGAAAACGTAGCCTTTTTTTCCTTTCTGATTCTTATTTTTGTGTTTAATTAGTCCGACGTATTTCTCTAGATTTGGAATTAACAGCATTGGATATTGTAATTTGTAGCAATTCTTTCTCAATCATTAATAGGGGTTAAAGAGGATTGCGTTTTCACTTGTTTGAAGTTGCATTATCTTTTATTTTATTTTATTTAAATTAAATAAATAGGCTTTTTCTCGTTTGTTAGTCAAAGCTTTCGAGCAGCTCATTGCTTTTAAAAGAACACTACTAAAAATTTGGCTAAAATCGACCACGGCAAACCGTTCGATTTCGGTCGATAATTCTAAATATTTTATGTTTTAATTTTTTTTTACGAAACACGACCAAATTCGGTCTTTATTTTTGCGCAAAAACGCAGGAAACTATTTTGGCGTCCCGCAAAATTTATTTTTTAAGAAATCGACCGACTTTGGTTGGTTTATCATATAAAATAAATTTAAATTTAAATTTAAAAAACCGACCGAAATTGGTCGGTTATTTCAGTTGGTCATTTTAAAAAATCGACCGACTTCAGTCGGTAATTTTACATTTTTAATAAACACAGACCAAAACCGATCGGTTATTTCGGGCGAAAATGAATTCAAAAAGTACAAATAAAATAAAAGATAGTCTTAATCTAAAATGTACCTATGTGTAGTAGTTGAATAGTATCCTGCCACAATACAGACCCCGGTTCGATTTCCAGACGATACATTTTTTAATTGCATAATTAAAATACCGAGAGACTTCGGTAGATTTTTTTTTGGTCGCTTGTGAATTTTATTTACCGACCGAAATCGGTCGGAAATTGCAACCGACTTTGGTCGCTATTTATTATCGACTAGTCTAATTTTGACAAATTAAAGGCGGTCAAAAATTGATCAATTTTTTTAATCTTTTGAAGATTCGGTCGGTATTTCTAGACAGTTTTAAGCCGTTTTCTAGTAGTAGAAGATAGGCCGACCAAAGAAAGATGATGTGAAAACTTCACTCCTTTTCCGGAGAGTTGTTTATGTACCTTCTCTTTTTTTAAGTAAAATGAATATTCAAGTATCACGTAATTCATAGCTAATAAATTAAATAAATCATGTTTAAAACCCGACTAGATAGTTTTCTATTTAGGAAGTAACTTAAATGCTGTAGCTCCAAATTTCAATCCCTACAATCAGCATTATTGCAAGCTATATTCTAAATCCTTCGTATCATTTCCATTTCTCTTTTGAGTAATAAAGCTGTTTTAAGTTGTAGTGGTTGTTAGTTGTTACTATACATGATTTATACAATCATTACTCTTCCGTTTTCTCCGCACCCAAAAGATATGATATAGACAATTTACCTTAAAAAAGGCAGCCCGGTGCACTAAACTCCCGCTATGTGCGGGGTTCGGGCCGGACTACAAGGGTATATTCTACGCAATTTTATCCTGTATTTCTGCAAGAGGCTGTTTCCACGGCTTGAACTCGTGACCTCATGGTCACATGACATCAACTTTACCAGTTACGTCAAGGCTCCCCTTCAAAATAGACAGTTTACCTTAATGCAAGTATTAGTCGTTGTTCCATGGCTTGAACTTGTAACGTATAAATCAAAACAATTTTATCATTGCTCGAAAGTTCCCTTTCTATGAATTTCTCAGAGGAACATAGCACTTTCTTACTTACTCTTTGACTATGAAGTTAACCTAGCACAGCACTATAAGAAGCAATAAAAACCAACAACCAAATAGTACGTACAAATATAGCTCGATAATAGATGCACGATGTATTAATGAATAACAGAACTAGAGAGGTTGAACAATTACAGCAGTACCGTCATCCCCGGGCCCCGGGTTAAAGAAAACCCAGACGATACTTTACAATTTCGATAGAAAACTAATATAATATTCTTTAATTTTTCTTAAAAATGTATTAGCTATAAAAGTTGTGATGTATAGTATTACTATAAAATTTGTATATATATGAATCATGTTCAGAGATTTAAATTTTAATGTACGCATTCTCATAAAAATGAAATATGTTAATCGTCATATTCTGGATAATAGTCAAATATTTAAGTTCACTAGATTAGAATATAACTAAGGAATTTTTACCTTCCTATGCCACATATGAAACCTTATTACCATCAATGTTTAAGGTTAGAGATAATTACATTTAGTATACTAAATTACAATTTATATACCATAATTTAAAACAGGGATATAATTAATGAGACATTTATATGAGGCATAATTATAGGACCGTATATTCCCACGTTTCTCTTTCCTTTCAGATCAACCCCCCCTCCCCACGTTTTACCTTTTCCTTTCACTCCCCCACATTTAGCGTCTGTTTTCTTCTTTACAGAACAAAAGCTACCCACGTTCTTCATTATTCTCCATTTAAATTCATCAAATATTGAAGTTATTATTCTACAAAATTCATTCCCATCTTTAGTCAAGTTGAAGTTAAACCATGAAGAACATCAAATCTCCCAAAAAAATACCTAAAAATCTACAGTAGGTGATATCTCCTCTTTTGATTTGGGTGTTTTAACACCAAAATCACCACAAAAACAAGTAAATCTACACAAGCAATGGAACCTACTACTCACAGTTCATCTCCTAGACAAATCCGTGCCGAGATGAGAACAAAGCAAATGCACGATGTAGATGCTGTAGGAAGTGCTACAACTGGCGGCAAACAACTCAAAAGAAAGGGGAAAGAGGTATGTGTAGATGACGACTTTGTTGAAGATGTCCCTAAAATTCCAACAGTTAAAAAACTCAAGTTGTCTCCTGCTTCCTCAAAACAAAAAATGAAGAAATAGTCCAAAAAACTCCGAAAATTGGTTCAGAGAAAAAATTTGGTGAAGGTAAACATTTATTATTTTCATTTCCAGTTTTTTAGTTTTGTTTTTGGATGTAAAAATCTCTGTTTTAAGTGTTTTGGCAACTTGTAGATTAGTTGTCTTAATTTTGTAGATTATTTGTAGTTGTGATTTTCTATAGTTTATAATTGTAGTTATTTGTAGTCGTTTTGTAGTTATATTGACGTTAGCTTTTAAATTTTAAAACAGAACTGTAGTTACTTTTTTCTTCCTGCATTTTTGTAGATAATGTTTATATCTGTAGATGTCTTGTAGTGTTTTGTAGTTATATTGACGTTAGCTTTTAAATTTTAAAACAGAACTGTAGTTACTTTTTTCTTCCTGCATTTTTGTAGATAATGTTTATATCTGTAGATGTCTTGTAGTGTTTTGTAGTTATATGTGTGGGTAGGCTGTATTTTTTTGAAGCAGATTTATATGTAGTTTTTCTTCCTGATTTGTTTTTAGCTATTTGTGTAGTGATTGTGTAGTTATATGTAGATAATATGTAGATTAATGCTTCATTTTTATGCAGTTTACTAATGTGAAATAATTTATCATTTTGTGCAGAATGGACATTATTTTGCCCCACATAATGTGGATTATCGGGTGCTTAGATTCCACACTTTGTGTGATCCTAGCATTCCTAGCAAGATAAAAGAGTTATTGTCTCCAAATGCTTTAAAGCTTTTTAAAAATACTTGTTTTGGTTACTTACTGTCTTTCCCCTCCATTTGCATGCAAAACCAAGCTATTCATCTTCTGATGAAGTATGAACTGTCTAAGTGTAATGAATCATTTTTTTCAGTCCACTTGAAGGGGAAAAAATTGAATTTTTCATTGAGAGAGTTTGGTTTAATTACCGGTTTAAATTGTGTGAATCAGTTTACAGATTATGGATATACTTCTATTTATGTTAGCAAGTTAATGAATAGCTATTTTCCTAACAAAAAAAGAGTAGAGAAGTGGTATTTGAAAAACATAGTAACAAATAGATCTTGGGTAAACGATGAGGATGCAGTCAAGTTGTGCATTCTTTATCTTTTGGAATTTTTTGTTTGCCCTTATGACAAAGACCATGTGTCTTTTATAGACCACTTTAGGTTCTATTTGGTAGAGTCTGGTCAGTTTGAGTCATACCCATGGAGTATTAAATAGTTCAATCAGGTTATGAAATCCGTTAGGCATCGTCTAAATCTCCATGTACATTCTTATCTCATACGGAGATGCTCATTAGCCTTGCAAGTGTGGCTTTATGAGTGTTGCTCGACCGTCAGCACGGAGCTTGCTACGAGGTGTTCTGACTCAATACCTCGCATATTAAGAAGGTCAGCTACTAAGGGACAGATTTGGTTAACTGCCTTTGAAGAGAAAATGATCAAGCCTGAGTGGATTAAGGTATTTTTTTCAGTTTTATATGTTGCTACATTTACCTTCATAATATCTACAATTAGTCTACATTTTTTGTCTTAGTGGAACTAACTGTTTTTTTTCATCATTAAGTTCACAAGCGTGACTAAATCTGGAGAAGAGATTGGAGTGCTTACTCTGCCAAACAAGATTGAGTATGAAGATGAACAAGGTGCACAATCATCAGAGGTTCCAAATGCTTATTCTCCAACATTGAAACCCAAACATACAGATTGTCAAGAGGACAAGGAATCTGTAGCTAAGAAGCTCAGGAAGCTAGAAAAGGGAATTGAGCAGGTAATATTATTAACTACAATATATTTACATATTTGATACAATTTATCTACAATTCATAACAATTTATGTAGTATACATTATAGTTAAATTGTAGTATAATTCTATAGTCAGCCCTGTTGGGATTGCACACATTGTAGTTAAATTGTAGTATAACTGTAGCAATTTGTAGACAATTGTGAAAATAATACTGCCTCGTACATAATTAAACTGATTTGTAATTTATTTGAATAAAATTACCAACTAACTATATTTTTAACTTTTAAGTTGATGGAAAGTTAGAGGATTTTAGGAAGGCTANAAGCTGTATTTGAGGAACTCCATGACCTTCGAGTGTTTATAGATGATTCTATGAAGAGTGTTTTGAATTTGATAAACAGGAGATATGATGTGGATGAGGCAAAGGTAAGAGTTGACATATATTTATATACCAAAACAAATTATGACATATGAAACAATATACTCAAACTAACGTAAAATCTTTAGTTTGATGGTAGTTCAACCAAAAACAATGACCAACAACAAGGAGCGAACAACCAGCAATTTCAGTTCAATATTGGTGAGCAAGTGCATGCAAGCACAAGCAACACAGGTATCTACAAAATACCTACAAATATATATACTTAGTATAAAACTTTATAGAGCATAGTTTTATTATTCACATTTTATCTACAACTTCCTACATATATCTATAACTTTCAAGGCAGTATTATCTAGTATTATTTACCTTTTTTTAATTATAAATTGAAGCTGCAGTTTGTCCAGAACATGTTCCAGCACATGTTGACTTATATTCAGAATTTCAAGAAGCAGCTGAGGTAGAACAAGCAAGTATAATATCGTACTGTCATTCAGAATAAATAATTGTTGTTTATACAATTTTACATTCATGTTAAGTAAGTTATGTTTTATGTAACAGATATTGAAGATATCAATGCACAGTCCCCAATTCATGGAGTGACTGTAGCAGCTCAGACAGAACAAGTCATTGAGAAACAGCTAAATGAAGGTGAAGATGCACAACATGTGGATGAAGTTGTTTCTGAAGGATCAGGCATTGATAAGAAGGGTGTGACATTGGATGACTTTGAGTTTCCAAACAACTTAACACAATTGGTTAAGTATGGTGAGCCCATACCAGATGAAGCAACCCCTATTCATCCGGGCAGAACCAGGCAACCGGGGAAACATGCACGATCACCTTTCATACCTCTATATAGTTCTGAAGGTAGCAGCTCTATTGGACCTAAAGTTTTCTACCTCAAGTACCCCTTCACAACTCTTATAGGTGAAAATGTATATTCTGATGTATTAGATAAGTTCAACAAGTGGTTATACAACCGTAGTAACAAAGTATATAAGAGGTATGAATGCTTAATTTGACACTTTCATTTTAGCATTTTAAAGTTTAAATAAGTAATTCATTCTGTGATTTTTTTTATTGGACATTTATTTGTTGTTACAGGAGGAAGGCTCTCTTTTCCATAAAGGATAACCAAATCAAACCTTGGTTAGACCTTGGAGTTGAAAAGGTGAATAAGAAGCACTGGTTTTATTCCCTTGCTCACCCCGGACAAGTCCTCAATGACTCGGTAAGTATCAAAGAATAAATTCACAAGATATATTTTGTCTTTTGTTTTGTAGTATAATTGTAGTTATATTGTTGATATGAAATATATGTGACCATGCCTTTTATTATAAATTATAGATATAATGTAGACATTTCTTATAAATGTTGCTCTTATTATTTATAGTGTGATTGTATTTAGGTTGGACCTTATGTATCATATTTGATGATGAATTGTATGTAAAAATTATATATTTGGTAATTTGGACAGAATTGGTATATCTGTATTTCATGATTGTAGTTAATTTGTAGTTAAATTGTAGAGCAAGTTGAAGACTTATAATATTAACTGTAGTTTAATGTAGATATTATTGAGACCTTATGGTAGTTGTTGTGTGCCATTTGTTGTTGTGTATAGCAGCTAAAGTGTAGCTATTTGTTAGATTATTTGAATTCTGACTTTGTAGTTTAAAGTGTAGCTGCTTTGTTGATAATTGTAGTTACACTGTAGCTTATAGTAGATTTTATTTTATTTTGCAGCACATTGATATTATTATGTATTACCTGAGAAAAAGAGGCAAATATGGCCCCAACAACAACAACACTAGGTTTACAACAACTGATTGCTTGTTCAAGTCAAAGATTGAACAAATCTATGAGAAGTTCATAAGTTCTCCGCCAGAAAAAAAGTATTAAGTTGTTAAACCCGATGATGATGTTGCAGAATATATTCTTGGGTATAGGCTTCTTGCTAATGTTGCCTGGGATAAAGTTGACTATGTCATCATGCCCGTGAACATTGTAGAGAATTTCCATTGGTTGTTGGTCGTTTTCGACATAGCAGACAGGCAACTTTATGTGTATGATTCCATGGTGTCTTCACACCATTATAATGTTGTTGAATCATGTGTTGATAAGCTTTCAATCATTATCCCTCTGTATTTGTCTTGCACTGGTTTCTACGGGAAGCGTAAAGACATTGACTTCAAGACCACAAAGGCATACATTGAGAAACTATTTACAGACCCTCTCAACATACAGTGGATGGTTGCGGAGATTCCACAGCAAAAGGAAGGATCATTGTAAAAAAACTATTCTCTCTTTCTATATGTTTAATTATTATTTTTTATAATCATTTGTTAAATAATTAAATTTTTTTGTCTTATGCACCGATTGTGCTGTATTTGTGGCTGCTTTTGCGGAGTATGTTAGCCTTGGAGATTTGTCAATCCCTTCAGAAGACCTTTCGGATATCGACCAACACCGTAGACGCTATGGAGCTCTCCTATGGGACTATGCTACAAAGAAGCAAGAAGATGGGTCAATCAGTGAAAGTGAGGTTACATGCAGGCTAGCAAGGAGGAAGGGTGCTCCTGCTTTGAATGAGAAGACTAGAGTCCAGAGAAAGAAGAAATAGTGTCCTGTATTCCTAGTTTAGTTGATGCCAATTTGTAGTTGAAGGAGAATACACTACTTTATGAACAAAATTTTTATTTTTTTATTGCAGCATACCTTTTTGTTTTGTTATTTTATCTTTCATTATTAGTTGTTCCCTTGAATATAAATTGGTTATTTACAACACTGTATCTTTATTATATTAAACATGAGTATTTTGATGTTAGAATACAATTTGCCTACAAATAATTTTCACAATATCTACATTTTGGAAACACTCAATGTAGTTATTGTATATAATTTTATAGTTGTATATGTTCATAACTTTTACGAAATACCTTTAAGTTCTAGGTAATATCTGTATATAATTGTATATGGTGAAGTTAAATTACACAACAAACAAAAGAAATAAATACTCCAATCCTAGAAATATATTATCCACAATGTATCTACAAATTATTACCAAGACTACAATTTAACAACATTTAACCTATATTTTACTGGGCTGTTGTTGTTCTTGTTGTTGTTAACCTATATTTTACCTACAATCTGGAAACACTTTACATTAAAGTTACTTTTTTTATATCAGTTGTATTGTAGATAATAAATATTAAAATTTAATTACACTATATCAAAGACAAATTTAGATGTCTGACACAATACATAAAAGCATATTAAACACACATAAACAAATTGTAGTCTACTTCATAATGATCTTTAAAAACTTAAACGATTACACAAAAAATTTGTTAGCTTTAACTTACTAACAGTTAGTTTGAATAACTATTCTAACTACATGATATTCATTTCTTCTTGGGCGCATTCTTGCAAGATCTTTTGTTATGCCCTTCACCTCCACAATTTCTACATGACACCTTGTATTTCTTTGACTTTATTTCATCATATGTTTTATATCTTTCCTTTTGAGGTCTCCCTGGCTGCCTTTTATCTCCCGTCGGTGGATTTACTACCTCATCCAAAATATATTGTGGCACATTCCATTTGCTTTCATCAGAAAGAGGATTTACTGGTATTTTATACGTACGCAAAAGGCTCTCCCTTGTGTAATACGGAGAGCAATAGTTTTCATATGTTTCATTCCTGTGCCTTAATGCTGCCAAAGCATGCGCACATGGAAGTTCTTCAAGTTGAAATTTGCCACAACTACATTTCTTGTTTTCGAGACACACAATGTACCGCTTCACACCATCTAACACAGTATGTATATGATTTGTTGAAGCCCTCACCTACAATTGCAGAACAAATAGAAAAAATATTATCTCAATCATAAAAATAGATTATCTACAACCTATCTACGAATCATCTATAAATATTCTATACCTTATCTACAACCTACAATTATCTACAATTTGACTACAATTTATCTACAATCTGGAAACACTGCATATTAAGTAATTTATTTTTTTTGCACCAAATAAACAGATCTTACCCTAAGCTTCTAAGATAATGTTCTGTTGTTCTCTAATTCTTTGTTGAATTTGGACCCAAGAAATGTGAAAGTACCCTTCGCCTTCAATAACTTCTCGTTGGTCCAACGTTCTAGCAGTGTCCGCATATACTCTAAAAGGTCAAATATTGGCAACTCTCTTGCATCTTTTATTACTGCGTTCAACGACTCTGCAATATTTGATGTCATTGTCCACGTTCTATTCACTGTTGCATGTACTCTTGACCATCTATGATAACCAATATCATATAGGTAAGATTTCACACGCGGGTCTACCTCTTCAATCTTCGACATCCTTTCATTAAATTCATCCAGAGTGTATGACCGTGCTGTAGCAAAGTACAATTCATGTAATTGTAGATGACCCTTCTTAAATTTTGACCTTATATTTGTCCAAATATGCCACATGCAAGAGTAGTGTGTCATGCCCTGATAGATAATTGATGTTGCCTTCAGTATACTCTCATTCCTATCTGAAACAACACACATTGAAGGTCTTTCACCATATGCCTGCTTGAATTGCTCAAAGAACCACTTCCAAGATGCGTCATTTTCAGAATCAACCACAGCATATGCCAAGGGCAAGATTGTACCTACCTTATTAATTCATAAACTATTAATTGGCAGCTTTGAAAATGTATATAAAAATATAAATACATAACAACTACAATATATCTTCATAATATAGACAATTTATCTACATTTCATGTAATAGCTACAAAATAACTACAAAATGAATACAATGTATCTACATTTTATAGACTGCCTACAAAATAACTACAAAATTTTTACACTTTTTACCTGCTGCATCCATGGTGCTTGTTGTCAGCATAATCCCCATGTAGACTGACTTTAAGAATGTCCCATCAACCACTACTACTAGCCTACAATGTTGCCAACCACTTATTGATGTACAAAGAGCAACAAATGCGTATAAGAAGCATTCATCTGCTGTCTTCTTCAATTTAACAACCGAACCAGGATAAGTCTCCTCAAGAATATAAAAATATTTGGGTAATTTGTTGTAGGAGTAAGCCGGATTCCCTCTCAAAAACTGTAAAGCCTTTTCCTTTGCTCTCCATGCTTGCATGTAGCTTAGGTTCACTCCGTGTTCGGATAACATGTCAGTTTGTATGTCCTTTGGTGTGTAAACAGTCTTAGGATCACAATACTTTGGAATGACCATTCTACCAACTACAGCTGCAGTACGTTTGCGCTGTATGAATGTTTCGTCCATTAAGGAGCATGTGTGTTGTCGGTTGAAACTCCTTATCTTGAACATTGCGGAATCATTAATTGACGTTGCCTTGAAGTGCCATTTACAGTTTTTACCAACGCATACAAGCCAGTAGCTACAAAAAAAATACAATATTTAATACAGATTATAAATGTAGATGCAACAAAAGGACTGTTTTAACATAAAGTAACATAAACTACAATTGAACTACAATGTAACTACAATTTATCTACAATGTTTAAAAAATACATATCTTGAGTAAAACACTGCTTTTAATGATCTTTTCACCACAAATATCTCCATACCTTCTATGATTAGATCTTTTAACTCTAAACTGGAACTTGTGCATCACAGAAAAGTGCTTCATTGCAGCAGCTACAGTTTGCTTGTCCTGATACACTTGTCTTTCTTCAATAGCAGTTTGCATAGATTCTGTTATTATTTCACTTTGATATTCCTCTATAACTGGAGAGGATGGCATATCAAGTAACTTTAGAGATCCAGACGAACCTGCATCAAAATAAAGATAAACAGTGTCATTATAATTTTGTAGAATCTTTGTAGATAATTTGTAGATATAGTGAAAATTTTGTAGTCATCCATTTTAGGATGTCCGATATTGTAGTTAAATTGTACTATAACTGTTGCAATTTGTAGAAATTTGCGAAAACAATACTGTTTCGTACATAATTAAACTGATTTGTATTTTATTTGACTAGATTTTGTTCTAAACATAGATTGTAGTTTTATTTGAAGACAACATTTTGAAATCAACAATTTCTAATCATAGATTGTAGTTTATTTTGTCATATAAATGTAGTAACTTTGTAGATAATTTTGAAAACAACATTGCTTTATTCTTTCATTAAACTGATTTGTAGTTTAATTGTAGGTAAATGTAGTAATTTTGTAGATAATACCGTAAAACCATAATTCTATGCAATTTCGAACTATACAAACCTGCACTTGTGTTATCGTTGGTGATTGCCAATTTCATATTGAAATCTCGTACACTTATACATAACGGATATGAACCTAAGTTTTATTCTTCTTTTTGGTCTCCATATACACACGAACCTCCATATCATTCCTAATCTCCATTGGGGGACAATTGTCGTTCATCATGTATTTGATTTCTACAATTTTTTCTGAAGTATCAATCGATAGTTGTTCTGTAATTGTAGAAATCATAATACTGTAGCTTGCATTCTCATCTACCACAATGACATCAACTTCAAAATCTCTAAATCTGACATAGTTATCCTAATTCCCATTCAATTGTAGCATGATTGCGATTTTGGACATGATTGCGTCTTGTTGCTGATGTATTATTCTAAATTTTTTCGTTTTTTTGGATTTCTAGATTGAGAGAAAAAAAGATGAAGAACAGATATACGATCGCCAATTTACTTTCTGAAAACGACGAAGAACAGAATATTCTACAATTTGAATTCAGTTTGTTGAATCTCGAAGATATGTTCTGCAATTGTTGCGAAATCTCCTTTCCGTTTCAAAACTTGAATTTAATGTAGAATCAATCAATCCTAAGATTCTTTCCTGATTTTTCGCGCGTTATTAGGGGAAGATTATGTCCTATTAATTCCTAATAAACGAATGGTACAGAAATTGTAGGAAAAATGTGGACTAGGCGGGTAATTTAGATACTATGCACATATTTGGTAATAAAGTTTCATATATGATATAGGAAGGAAAAAATTCCTATAACTAAAAATCCAATTTTGTTGGGTTAGTCCCTTTTTTGGTTTTTCACCCGGTGTCCGGTAACCACATTGGGCCCAACTAACTCTGGATTCGAGCCAGAAAGTCCACATTAGGAGCAAAGCGTTCCCCAACAAAGACGACTCTATACCTTCAAGATAATCCCACCTTTTAAACACTTTGGTAATGCTCCCAAATAATGAATCAGAGCACATGGAGCCATTTCGTTATCTTTTTTTCTGTCCCAGGTAGGAGTGTCAATGGTTCGGTTTGGTCGGTTATTTTATAAAATTTATATCGTACCAATATTTCAGTTATTCTATTATGCATAGCCAAAATTAGGCTTTTCGAAACTGTCCCAATCATGTCGGTTTCACTTCAGTATCGGTATGGTTTGATTAATTTTCGGTATTTTTTAAATGTCATGTAAAATTTACCAGTAGAAGTAGAATGCAATAACATACGTTATTTTATAATTTATAGGACTTAGCAAAACTCTCTAGATATTTTTACTGTTTAAAGGTTGATGAATTAAAAAAGTGAAAGATAGCTAGAGTATAGTTCCATCAACTATTCGACAACAATGTAAAAGAAACCAAGTAAAAGCAAAAAAAAGATAAATCACACGAATGAAAAGATATTAACCAAGTTGGGACTCAATAATAAAGTCGATATTAAATATTCAAAAAGGTAAATCTAATTATATGAAAGGAAACATATTCAATACATTGTAGTTTGTTACTTATAATCGCTAGAATACTTTGTGTCTTGCTGATAAAGATACTTGAAATAACTTAGTTTAAGTATAAATAGCATAATAGGTTTTAGGAATTAGTATTTTGAGTTTAATCACTTGTTGGCTTGTAACAGTTTTCATAATTTCAAGGCCCAATGAAAAACTTAATGCTTTATTAGTTTTAAACTTACTATATAAATATATTTTCCACATGTAAAATTTATTCGGTATGGTTCGGTATTTATTCAGTTTATTTTTATAAAATAAAAAACCTACCTTAGTTATCGGTATGATTATAGATTTATCTAAAAACCTATGATTTCTTTAAAAGAAATCTAAAAATCGATTTGGTGCGGTACAGTTCAGTCGGTTTAGTCGGTTTTCAAATATCCATTGACACCCCTAGTCCCAGGGCTCGAACCCGAGACCTACGAGTAAGAATGAAGGAGTACTTATTACTCCACCACAACCTTTGTTGGTGGGTTAGTCCATTTATTTGAACTTCAAGTGAAGAACCGATTTTAATGGTCCAAGATATCATCTTGTTCTAGAGGTCCAGACTTGTGACACATGTGACGTGGCCCCCAAGTCAAACGAAGAAGTCAATATTAAAGTGCCACATACGCCAAATGGCGTGCAAGCTGTGAGCATGTGATTTTTGCCCCATATGAAATACTCCTATAAAATCCCAAGAAAAATAGATTTTTGTTAATTATTGGCCATTTTAGGAATTTCTATAGAATTTTCTGAATTATTTGCATTTTTCTGTGCATGTTTAATTTATTTAAATCATGAAAAATACCCAAAATATCATGCATTGCATTTAGGATTTGTTTTTTCATTTTTTAGAATTAATCAGTAATTATTTGTTTTAGAAAATTTGAAAAATTACAAAAATCGCTCATTTTACATTTTTTTTATCTTTTAATTCTTAGTTTATTGATTTTTCTCTTTTAATCTAGATTTAAGTGATGTTTATAATTTTTATAATTAGTTAAATAGTTTAATGTCACATTTTAGATAATTTTGGATTTTTAATTGTTAGAATTTTTAATTAAAAAAAAAGGAAAAGGAAAAAGAAAAGAGAAAAGAAAGGGATTTTTAAAAGGATTTTCGGAATTGGATCTCCAAAAAGAGCCCAAAAATTACACCCAAAACCCAGGCCCAAACACTAGCTAACCCGACCCAGTTCCCACAAGCTCCTAAACGACATTGTTTCGTTCCGACTTGATCCCAGCCGTTGGATTTTATCCATCCAACGGTCCGGAACTAATTGATCTTTAAGTATATTACTGTCTGAAAGAGAGTCTACCCCCCCCCCCCAAACCAAACTCTCTCACTCTCCATCTCTCTCTGAAGATAACACCAAACCCTAGCCGCCCATGAACCCCACGTCGCCTCCACCATGAACCACCACCGGAAATCGCTTTACGGCAGTTCTGGTGGTCCAATAGGTCCCAAAATGATACCATGAATTCCCTTTCATCTCCTCATTCTAAATCCTCACTCTCTTCCCTTTGAATCGTACCCAGTTTGTTTGAATTTTGAATCAAAAATCCGGCCAGAACTTTAGTTGGTCCAAAGCCTCCCAAAATTACATCCTGAGACCACCACAACCCCCTCATCCCAAATCTCAACTCCTTTTCCTTCGAATCACCGTCTAATCCTTCGATTTTGAATCAAAGGATCCGGCTAAAACCCTAATTGCCCCAAATCAGGCCAAATTAACATTTTACAACCTTTACCCCTCTCTAGGCCCTAAGCAACCTTTAGCCTTGTCCAAATCAGTTCCTATTTGGCCGAATTTCCTTCTCCTCTTTGCTTAGTCAGTGAATGGTCGGATGAACCTCAAACCACCATTAGTTGATTGTCCCCTGTTAAGGGCAGTTGATTAATGACGGTTGAGGGTTCATTTTCTTTCTTCGAAGAATTCGCCCTAGTTCATGAAAGATTTATGAAGCAGACAAGGTTACTTCTTCCTCTTTTATTTTATTCCTCTCTGATTTTTCCCTCTTCTTTCATTCTTCATGGTTTTGTTTTGCTCTAGTTGCATGGCTAGTTTTTTCTGGTTTTGAGTTTATTAGTCATGCTTCTGTAGTTGCTCATCAATAATGACCATTTAGTTTAGGGTTAATGTTCGAATTAGCCATCAGAATTTCAGTTTCCTTTTCAATTTGCGTGTTGGTGTTCAATGAAGTTTAAAATCAGCATTTTAGCATCATTTGATTCTTTTACTGGCTGATTTAATTGTCCAAAGTTTGAAATAGGTTGTTCATTGTTAGGTACTTATTAAATGTGAGTTTCAATTGATGAATTATTGAATTGTTTCTGAAAAGAAAAAAAACCCTTTTGATGCCTTTTGATTCAATCTACCTCTGGTTTCTATTAGAGAAGTGTTAGCTTTATTTGTGATTCTTCAGGACTTTTAAGCCTTAAATGAACAAGTAGAAACTTTAGGGACACGTTTGAATTAGAAAAGTTAGGCTAGAACATGAAATAAGTAGCAACCTAAGGGGTAAAAAGGGTTTTCTACTTAAGCTGAATTTCAGAAATATCTTAGAAAAGGGTATAGTTGTCCCAACTATTAAAAATGTACTGAAATGAAGGACAGCTGTACCAAGGGTTGTTAAAAAGGACTGTACTATTATTCCTTAAGATAAGGAATATGCTCAAAAGATGTCTTCCCATGGGAAGCCTATATATAGGCTCAAACAGTCTGAAAAAATACAAATTCTCATGCCCATTTTCATCAACAATTTTTCTGAAAAAGTTCTATTTCTCCTCTGAAAAGTTCATACTCAAAACAGCTTTGAAAACTCCAAAAAATCTCTTATTCCTTCCAAGCTTGAAACATGGTTTGAAATAGAAACTCTCTTAGTCCTCTTAGCTGAATCTTTTGGATTTCAAGTTGGTTCTTAGTTTTCTGATTTGAATCTCTGGGTCATTTTGGTGTTGTTGTTGTTGTTGTTTCTTGCTGCTGAAATCCAATTTGTTCAGAGAGACCTGTCTTTACTTTTTTATTTTTCTGAAAAGGTACACATTTGGGACTCACATGCTTGACCTAGGGTCTTTCGTTTTATGTAATCTGTGTTTTGATGTTTGAACGCAAAACTTTCACTTGCTGAGTGTCTTTTACTGTTTTCATCTTATTCATGCCTTATGGTCATAATTCATCAAATGTATTAAGTTATTACTCCACTAGCATGTTTGAATACTTTACTTAGCTTAAGTTCTTTTATGTTTGAAAGAATGCAGAATGTTTCAACCTGAATTCCTAGACACTGAAATAGCTTTTATTGTTCTTTTAGTTAATGTTAAGGTTACACTGATTCAGGGCTTTTATATGAACTAATGGTTGTATTATCACTGCCATTTGTTTGTGTTGGCATGTGATATGGCCATAAGGCCAAGTGATTTCAAGGTTGAAGCTGGAAATGTGAATTTGTGAGGGACAGTTCCATAGCTGTTCTCTCGCAAATACACACATTATAAGAGAAGACTTGAGGGAAAAAGGTAATCAGAAGTTAGAATGAGGAGTAATTTTGAGCATTTTTAGGCAGTAGCATGATAAGTTGTAAAATATGATTTTTGTATATTTTGGACTTTCCGTATTGTAAATGGATTTCTATAACTTTTAAAATTCAGTTTTCTATTTTCTTGGCTTGTTTAGCATTGGGCCATTACAGTTAAGACTCATTGTTTCATTTGATGAACACGTTTTATAGCTGTGACTGGGCCAGGCTTACAGTCAGGCCCAAGTTGGGATCCATTTGAGCAAAATCGAGGGTTTAGGCTATTGAGCTTGGGCTTTCAGCCCAGTAGTCTAATAAGTTGTAAAATGTCTCTCCTGAATTGTGATATAAATGTATGCCTTTGTTATTTTTCTTTTGCAAATCATAGTAGTATGACGAATCTTTGAATTTGAATTTCGTATTTTCTGAAGTTTCGTTTTTTTTAATTAAAGTGAACCGTGTTCCTTGCTTTTCTTTTCTTTGTCAATTTTGGTTAAAGTTTTAAAAATGCAAAGAGGTGGATAGGTAGTCGGTGCCAATGCACAACTGGGCCTGCCTAGAATTTAAGCTCAACGTGGGTTGTTTGTCTCCAGATCAACAATTGTATTTCTAGGCTTCTAACTTCTGGGCCAATTGTGAGCCCAAATTTCAGCTTTCGAAGCTGATTCAATAGCAGGCTGTTGCTGGCCCATTTTCCCTTGTCCCAAAACTTTTTAAAACCTTTCATAATCAGTTAGCCCTTTTTAAGCTTAAGTAATTTCAAATAGGAATATTCTAGATGGCCTTAATTAATAAGTTTTTTCTTCCAAAACAATTTGAGGTGTGCCATATTTTAAAACCCATAACATATGGCCCTTATAACCTTAATTAAGATTTGTGAATTTGAGGTGTGCCATGATTAACAAAACCCCTAAGTCCATGGCCCTCGTATAAATAGTAATAACTCTTTAAGATCGAGGTGTGCCATTATTAAATTTTCCATGGCCCTCGCAAATCTCTTATTAATTTGAACCATCGTAGTTTGCTCTAGGCCCGATTTAGATTAGTATTGCGATTATATATACGTTCGCGTAATATGATTACAAATTTAACTCTAAAAAGACTCGAGGGGTGCATTCGCGCAACTTCAACCAAACTTTCTTAATAAATCAACAAAAACGTTATTAATCGTGGACACGTTCGTGTGACATGATTTTGACACGCCAAAAGAAAAGAGTATATGTATGCGTAACTCAATTCTTTAATTACGCATAATTCAAGTGATTTAAAAGCGGTAAAAAGATAAATGCACATAGGTCCTAAAAATGAGTAGTTAAACAATTTAAGCCAAGTAGTAATCACTAAGCGACCGTGCTAGAACCACGGAACCCGGGAATGCCTAACACCTTCTCCCGGGTTAACAGAATTCCTTATCTAGAATTTCTGGTTCGCAGACTTTAAAAAATAAATATTTTCTCGATTTGGAATTTTAAAATAAACCGGTGACTTAGGACACCATAATAATTATTCCAAGTGGCGACTCTAAAAAATTAAATAAAATAATTTTATTTCGATTAATGTCACTTTAATTGGAAAAACTCTCTTATATCTCCTTTCGGGTGGTAAAAAGGAGGTGTGACACAAGCTAAGTCAAATAAAAAAGGCTAACGAGAATGTGACATGTATACAAGTGACATGTTTGACCAATCACGTGTGGCCTTTTCACTGCTCCAATATATATTGTGTATGATTTAGGTTAATCAATCAAATTAGAGCAAAGGAATTTAACCTCACCATAACTCCTTTCTTTTATAAATATAAATCGGAGCAATTAAATTTTCTTTGGCACATAATTTGTTGTAACTATCAATTATAAAGCACCAGGACTAATTAATAGACTCCAACTTTTCGTCCATAACGTGTGATGAGCGGGTCTAAATCAAAATCTTGGATTAAGAGTGTGTATGGGTAAAATCAGAGGGTAGAATTTTTTTTTGATTTTCCGATAAAAGAATGAAGGGGGAGCACGACTCGTCATAGTTATAACCAGGCCAGGAACTCCTCGTATCGAGACCCAGGAAGAACGAACAATGTATATGAGATCGGACACGGCAAGTCGACATACCCTGGACCAAGTACAATTTTTGGACCTTGGAAGATGCAGTAAACGGTTATGCATGACGAATATGGGGTTGTAATATTCGCCCTCAACCAGATTTTACGGCACGAATCTCGTTCGGTACCAATTATGGTTCAACAATTACTAGAGAACGAGAATTTTACCTTTTTAGACTTGTACTACGACTGAAATTCTTATATTATATAAAAGGGAAGTTGTTCTTTATCCTGACACATTGTAACACGTAATTTAATCCAATAAGAGTTTATGTTTGTCTTGTAGCTATTGTTCAAGGCACTACTCACTTGTTCTTTTCTGCACGCGTGACCGAGCTTGTACTAAGGGTCCGATCGAGGACGAGCTTAACTATTCAATCTGAGATCAGGCTTGATCATTGCATTGTGATTGATTTGACCGTTTGTTTCGCCAACCACGTATCATTTAAACCGCATACAAACTCATTTTTTTGGGTAAACAAAGAGAGTGATTGTTAGTTCTATTTATGATGTTCTTTTCATGTTTTTAAATTGTTGTAAATTTTACGAAAAATATTTGATCACGAAACTTGTAGGGAATTCTTCAAAGCTTGAGGCGTATCAAAAATACTATCTTTAAGGATATTTCTCCTACACAGTGATAAATAAAATTAGGTGTATCCTCCAGGATTCAACAAGCTCTTCCAGTTATTAAACTAGGAACAGAACTAGCTGAAAACTCAAAAAAAAATACGTCTAATTTTATTCATCATGGTGTGAGCGCAATATCCTTAAAGACAGTTTCTTTGACATGTCTCAAGCTAATGCTTAGTCTCCATTAGGGGTGTAAATGGATATTCGAAAACCGACTAAACCGACCGAACTGTACCGCACCGAACCAATTTTTAGGTTTCCTTTTAAGAAACCGTAGGTTTTTATATAAATCTATAACCGCACCAATAATTAGGGTAGGTTTTTTATTTTATAAAAATAAACCGAAAAAATATCGAACCGTACCGAATAAATTTTACATGTGGAAAATATATTTATTTGGTAAGTTTAAAAATAATAATGCACTAAATTTTCTTTGGCCTTGGAATTATGAAAACTATTACGAGCCAACAAGTAATTAAACTCAAAATACTAATTCCTAAAACCTATTATGCTACTTCTACTTAAACTAAGTTATTTCAAGTATCTTTATTAGCAAGACACAAAGTATTTTATCGATTATGAGTAGCAAACTACAATGTATTGAATATGTTTCCTTTCATATAATTTAGATTTATCTTTTTGAATATTTTATCTTCTATAGACTTTATTTTTTAGTCCCATCTTGGTATATCTTTCAACTCGTGTGATTTATATTTTCCTTGCCTTTGTTTGATTTCTTTTACGTTATTGTAGAATAGTTGATGGATCTATATTCTAGCCATCTTTTATTTTTTAATTCATCACCCTTTAAACAGTAAAAATGTCTAGAGAATTTTGTTAAATCCTATAAAAACGTATGTTATTGCATTCTACTTCTACTAGTAAATTTTACATGATATTTAAAAAAATACCGAAAATTAACCGAACCGTACCGATACCGAAGAGAAACCGACATGATTGGGACGGTTTCGAAAAGTCTAATTTTGGTTATACATAATAGAATAACCGAAAAAATGGTATGGTACAAATTTTATGAAATAACCGTCCGAACCGAACCATTAACACCCCTAGTCTCCATAACCAATTTTTCCAACAATCTTAAGGATATTTCACCCAGTTTGGGTATAGGACAAAAAATTAACTTTGTTACCACAAATTTGCTTAGTAGCAGAAGAGTCTAATATCCACTCTCTTGCATTAGCCATAAGATTCGCTTAGAGCAATGACCACAACAATTATATCATCCGCATACTCAAATTTATTTTTGACTTTGCAGGATTATCATTTCTCTCTCGAATCCTCTTGTACATTGAGGAATATGTGATGACTTAGTGTCACTCCACAAATAATTATTATTTCCAACAAAGTTTGATCTCAAATAAATAAGTCATAGTTGCATGAAGAAAGATCAGTCATTATTCAACATTCACCCAACTAATGCCAATATTTTCCAGAAATGAGTTCAAAAAGAAATTTTCCGTTTTAAGAACTTGAGTAGTTCTTGAATCACCAAAATAAATAAATCATTAACTAGCCATTGGAGCAACGCCTATATAAACATGGTCTTTAGAGAGCTAAATTCACTTTCTAATACAACTTTCTGAATCACCTTTTGCTCCTATATGCTGTGTTTCTTTCTTAAGTTTTCTGCTAGTTTTGTTTCCAGTTTAATAACTGAAAGAGCTTGTTGAATTCTTCCAAACCAATTTTTCCAACATAAATAGTACAAAATAAAGTGTAACGAAGGTACTAAATTATGACCAAGGAACGTATCAAAATCTTGAATTAAGAGGTTGATTGTTAGTTCTATTTACTCTCATTTTTCTTTCACGTTCTTTATAATTGATGTCATTATTCCATCAATCCACCGTTCTTGAAAATTTAATTGGTACTCCTTATATCCAGTTTCTCTGCTTGCTTCTGGTAATTTTGATAAGTTTCAACTTCAAAAGCAATTCTTTCCGTTATTATCGCACAAAATGGTGGATTATAACCCCTTTTGGCCAACTTCCCAATAACCAAAAAAAAAAGAACAGTTACAGTTAATCTGACTTTTTGTAAGTCTTGCAACTTGCAACTGTATGTTTTCGTGGATTGTTAGCAGAAAAGGGCAAGGACTTTATTGAAAATATATTCTATGTACCGACAATCTATAACTTTTTTTCATATGTCCAAAAAGAATGATCATTTTTTAAATTTGGAAAAAACTTAGCTTAAACTTACAATTCTATCTTTAATGAAAAGCTTTTATAACCACACAAATACTGTGGACTCCTTTTTGACTTATTTAGGACCACAAATTTCAAACTCTTTATTTTTTCTTAAATTACATGTCCAGTTAAATATGTTCACATAGATTAGAACTGAGGGAGTTATACAATTCATCACGAGCATGATATAGTACATGATAAAATAATCTATTATAATCTCTCCGTTTCAATTTAAATGGAGTACTTTCCTTATTGGTCCGTTTAAAAAAGAATGATACATTCTACATTTGGAAACATCTTAACTTTAAACTTTTTATTTTACTCACCTTATGATTAATGAGAAGCTCTTACAGCAACACAAATGACATAGTCATACAAAGCTTTTGCCCTTTAAGCTTTTAGGACCACATATTTCAAAAAAAATTCTTTTCTCCCTTAAACTTTATGTCAAGTCAATAACTACATCTTCTAAATTGAAACGGATGGAGTAATTGATCCTATGATAGTGTAAAAATGTAGATAAAGTGGTTTTAACCATTAGCTTCCCATATGAACTGACTTACACATATATTGGCCGTAGAATTGAAAAATTCGCATTCAGGTGTGGACTGGAAGTCTGGAACAGCCTAAATTCTTTAAACAGATCTAAATTTCTCCTTTTCACTCTATAGAGTTTCTGTAACAGAATTTGTATAAGATCGAAATCGGGCTCGTCTATTGCATGATAGATCGGGATTGAAGCGTGATGGGTTGAA